AATACATAAGGCAGTAGGCCAGAATACGACGAGTACTGAAATTTTACTAGACTGAAATTTAGGCAAAATGTTAAAGTGCAATTTTGTGGAAGGCAATGCCGCGACCATGGCAGGAACAGGTTGGTGTAGCACGCTTGGGATAAATTCTAACGGAGAAATGACCATACAGGGTTATTAGAATATAATCGGGAACATGCAAACGGATAGAGTAGGAAGAAGGTTCGGTGTATGTAAAAGTTATACTATTAACAAGAGGTGCTTAAAACATAGTACAAGAGCAGAGAATGCGAAGAATTAGGGTCTGTTACAATGTAAAAACGATCTGTCTGGACTACGGCGACACCTCCGTGTCTGTCTAACAGCCAGTGGGGAGTGCAATGCTGTGGACAACTGCAGGGAACAGTCGTGGAGGCTGCTGACGAAGAGAGAGAGAGAGAGAGGGAGCGAGTAGAGCGTCATTATAAGGGAGGGATTATCGGCAGTTTTGAAGAGACTTTGGCCATCTCCACTGGCATACAGTTTTTTTCGACACTACTCTGCATCGCGCCAGAAGTGACTCTAACCAAGTCAAACAACTCCGTCCATTCTGTGGTGCATCTCAATGCATTACGTTTAGCGGGACTAAGAAGGCGATTGGTGTGACCGCGTGTCAATGAAGGTAGTCGGTATTTCTTCTCTTACACTTGCTGAAAATTCCATCCTCAACGCTCTCAACAGCACTCCTCTTCCTTTCTACCTCAGCACCCTCTTCGGCCTTTCCCTGTGGGTGCCGACTGTACTGCACACCTCACCGTCCGTTAAACAAACATGGCGGTTTCACCACCATCCAGGCGGCAGGTGGTATCTGCCTCTTGCCTCGTCCACGAAATTATTATACGATCGGTCCCTTTCTGCTGATATTGTGTCCTTTACGTTCATTTAAATCTTTTCTCCCCTTTTCGTCTGAATGCTCATAATGGCATGTGTTACAACTCTGGTCAGTTCACTCTCTGCCGGAAACTATTAGAAGTGATCTACACCATCCATGTGCGCCATCTCCGATGTAGCCGAGACGCTACATCTTGAATTTCGTCAAAGACCAAAGTGGGCTTGTTGTTTTCTGTTGTCTTTCTGAAGTCAACATACAAAAGGGGCATCCAACCGATAAAGTCAAGGCTCTTGTGCCCTGTATTCTGAATCATAAAATCGTCGACGGAAGTCTGCGTCCTGCCACCCCGAGTTAACATCGGGGCCACGCTCTCTTAGCCTCGATCCGCAATATACAAAAATTCCATTGTGGGGGAAATAGTTTCCATTCAGCTGTGAAATTCAAATTTGCGTATATCCTAACTGGGATTTTACCACCGCTTCCGTTGTATTGCTGTCCACATTATCTGATACTCATAAATCACACCTAGCCCGAAGAGTACTGAAACAACCCCATGGCCAAGTCTTCTATGATCGGTGGCGGGTGTGAGAAATCGGAGATAGACGATAAACAATTGAGACAGTTTATTTTACCGCGGGCACTTTTTTATTCTAATCAAAGGTTCATGCTCATATGAAGCGGTCATTTGCTGACTATATGGCAGTATAAAACATTGACGTTTAAATTTTTGGCGTTTCTGCCATGTAGACCCTCCGACTTCATCACGTTGATCGTGAATGAATTTTTTCGCCAACTTTATGTTTTTTTAAAAAATAAACTGTAATAAATTTAAATGTATTACAGAGTATCTGGTGCATTGCTACGTGTAAATATGGCGATGGCATCCTTATTTATTGCAGCTACTGTGATCTTGGGTATCACATTAAATGCCCGAGGCACACGCTGGCAGGTTTGATTTATGCTAGTGGCCAGGAAATTCACAGTGGTATCCCCCCCGTGACAGTTGTGCGGAAGGTATAATTGACGGACCTGATGATTTATGCAAACAGTCTATCGAAGTCGCTGACTTATAATAACGGACCAAAATGCCAATATCTTCCGCCATATTTCTACATATGGCAACTGAAAGTCGTGGTCTTGCACCTGACAGAGTTTAAGCAATTGTCGACAGCCAGGAAATCAAGTCACTAGATGCCCATACAGTTAGGTAGGTTCACTTAACTGCAGTCACACGTAAATGCAGACTCGCATGTCATCCAAGGTCGCTGCTCAGAGTAATATGTGACATGGGCGCGAGTAGATGATTTAAGTACATACAGTCTACATATTATACAGTTAGGAGACCCACAGGCCGAGAAAATACTTTGGCTAAAATAAACAGAGTAAGTTCGAAGATCGCCCTTAGTGCTTAAATCGAAGTCATATTCATAAAACAGACTTGCCACTCATGTAGGCACGAGGAAATCGTGCAAATTACATTCAATTGACGGTTACAAAACATTCAACTTCCTGAGCTGACCGCGCGACACTGTGCTCTTTCGGTAAAGTCCACTTTCACCAAATTTCTCAGGAGGACTGCCCACCTAGGACCACACACAGTGAGAATAACGGAAGCCCGGCAACTGGGGGCGGATTTTACTTTGAATGAGCTGTTGTAACTATTGTAACTATCAGTATGGCCGTTTCCGGGGTGAGGGGGGGGGTCGGAGGGAGGGGAGGATTGCATCCCCACCGTTAGCCGCCATTCAAATCCTACTCCATCCTACCTACCAGAAACCCTCAACGCATAGATATAGCAGACTAAGAATCTCACACTCAATGGTCCATGCCCGTTTACATTTGCCCATCGTTGTCCAGAAGCACAAGCTACTAGGGACTACAGCACTTTGACACATTATCGTCAGGAACCCGTGGCTTTTGACACTTCAGCGGCTCGTTGTTTGACTGGAAGACTGTATCTTTGGCCGGTGCTGACAATAGTTTGACGTCAAACTGATAATACTCTTTTTTCGAAAACCACTTAAGTCAGATAGCAATTTTGCTGCGAGCGTTTTTGTGCAAAACAGTCTCCATCAAACCTTGACATGATGTTCTCGCCAATTGACACGGCGACAGTCATCTCAGGCTTAGATCAGGCCGCTTTTGGGTTCTGTACATAGGTTGGCTATTGTAGGTCGCTCGAGCACTATGAGTGCATAAAGTTGTACTGACGTGTTAGGTCTAAGAAATTCAGATCACCGAATACGCTGACTTGTTCGAACTCTGGAAGAAGTGACAGATATAACAGCATAAACTTTAAATCTAGTGACCATCTGTCACAAATGACCCGGCAGATTAAATGACCTATTTTTGGCAAGCTGTTGCACCATCCGCTAGTGCAGGGGGAAGAGAAATAAGGTCTACAGATGCAGAATCTGATTAGATGCAAGTTCGTTGCCGGTTTTCTTTGGAAGGGCTATTGCGGTTGGCTGCAGATTCCCGCCGAATAAATTCGCCTTTCTAGTGTCCCAAATGTCTAAGGAGGTCGACCGTAACCGCCTGTGTCTCATCTTCGTTACTGCCCTAAGAGCCAATTATGCACGTTGAACGCTTACTAGGAGGGAACTCCAATGGTTTATCAAGCCAGTCTGTGTTTATGGACCCAACCTATTCAACTTACAGGAGACTCGGCCTTGTTAGTTGCTGCGGACGCCGGGGTTCTCCCTGTCGATCACGGAGGTCCATAGGTCTGGTGGGAATCGAGTTCACCAGTACTTTGGATAGAGGTGTTGCCCACCAATCATCGGTATCAGGAAGATCTTATTTAATGACGGCCTGCCGGGCGCCGACTCGCCGCATCTTGTCAGCACTGCCTCTGCTGGTGTCAGCGACTACTTGTCCGCCAGGCAAATGCGAAAGTTACATTGCAGAACAGAGCGAACAGCGAGGCGGACAAGCAGGTGTTCCTGTCATCCGGTTTTCAGACTCCCTGATTGTCCTATCGTCTTATTCCTATTGACATTTATCAACCTTGGTTGTTCTAGTTCGTAGGAATTTCTGCCTAGGCGAGGACCTAACAGACTTCCGTTTGGTCTTTTAGCCATGTCAGACCTACGTAGTCCAGAGGAGATTGTTAAGCAGGCTCTCAGGGTAGTCGTCGGAACTCTGTCCTCTAATCTCGAACTTCTTAATTCGCACTCCGTCCACTTTCTCCCCTCAAACACATGGGAGAAGTGTTACGGCCTGGCACTGGGTCATGAGCTGGAAAAATTTAAAGTACCCGAACCCGGCGACCGGCTAACCTGCATTGATGATCATCCAATCACCATTGCGTCGCTCTACTTCGAGTTGAGGCAGGCCTTGCTTACGGGGGACTCCGATGAATTGGAAAGTTTGCACAGGAACCTGACTCGTCGCAGCAAGGATTCACGTGCGAAGACGTCTGCACCTGTGGCTTCAGAGGTGAAGGGGAGTCTGCGCGATCTCCTCTGTGAGGCTGTTGCAGCCTCACTGCCCGTATTGTGTGCACTTCGGAGCCCCTTTTCTTTCTTTCCTTGCACGGATACTCCAGCATGTTGTGCTTTCTGCGAAAGCAAGACTGCTGCTTCCGCGCGCCCTGTAAGTTTACGTACACATTTTGTGCGGCCTTAACAGTTTATTTGGTGTTGCATTAATCTCGATGATCAAACAATTTGGTACTGGGCATGTAGAGGTAATGTTATCCTTATAGTAGTAAGACTCGGGGTTGGAAGGGGGCGAAATCACCTCGAGTCAATTCTAGTGATTGCCTCAACTGTTCTCAAACTTTTGACAGACGAGCAAATAGAGTGACGAGCTTCGGTCTCAGTGGAGGATGCCAAGGGATTAATAGGTGACCTTAATAAGTATTTTGTGGACTGATATTCAAAAAACGACCACTAAACCCTATGCCATCCTAAGCGCAGAACACACGGACACTGACGTCGTCAATCCTCTCAGCGTCCACCACGTCACTCAACCCTAATTTTCAGAGTTAACGTCGAATTTTTGCACAGAATTTGAAAGAGCATTTGAAAAGTTCAGTTTCGAAGAAATGACGCCAACTTTATTCATTGTCTGATATCGAATTCCAGTGAAGTTCACTGTTTGCCGAGGTGAAAGGTAGACTCTCTCTCTCTCTCTCTTCTTTTTCTTTTTCATCATCATCATCATCATCATCATCTTCTTCTTCTTCTTCTTCTTCTTCCTCCTCATCATCATCATCACCGTCATCACCACCACCACCACCACCACCACCACCACCACCACCACCACCACCACCACCACCACCACCACCGCCAACCCAATTTTTTGAACTATTATTTGCGACCCGTCCGATTCTCACGGATTTTGTTTTCTGCACAGACCCCCTCCGATACTTCGCCGAAGTCCAACATTCTTCCTATGGCCGCGATGATGCAGTCAGATTTATTCATAAACCATGGCATGAATGCGAAGAAGGCTCACGAGGTGAAGGCATTTGGTCGCCTTTGTGCCCAAATCTACCGCGATCGCTCACTGGATGAGGTAGGTATAGTTACTGCCTGACACCCAAATGGGTGGGGTCTGACTAAGCCCGAGTTGTACCTCGTCACTCAATTTACTCTCATCGATACCTAGTAGACAGTCTTCTTCAGAACAAGTGGTCGATTTTTGTTGAGCGTTCAGCAGTCAGAAGATACACGAAGCAGTGGCCACCGTAGGCGTGGCCACTGCAGCTGATATCACCTCTTGCCGTCTATAGTTGCGGATAGAGCTTTCTAACTGAGTATTTGTGTGTAGGATCATTATACGAGTCGGGAAGTTGACCAAGTAAATTGTGTGACAGAAAGAATTATTTTTGAACGCAAATTTTCAGAGGGCTCTGTTGGGCTCAGTTAAAAGACCCACTCAAGCCGTCTTATGCCCGGTCGACCAACCAGCCGATTATTATCCACGACGACTGTTGAATAAATTACACGACTCTGTCTGCCACGGACCGGATCCAGCTGGAGGCAGAAACACGGTATCTGACCGGTTGCTCTGAAATGACTCTCGAAGCCCCACTTTGACTCATTCCCTACTCCGTTCTGTCTCCTTCCTATGTCCTACTGATCTTTTCTATCGTAAACAATGATGACTCGCATGTGGATAGGTTTTTAGGGAAGTGCGTTAGTACGGCATCTACCACATACCCTATTCCCACACACAGTGTGCCATTGGCCAGATTCGGGCCTATTTTGTGGTCAGCAGAATATTTTGTCTACGCGTGCCACACGCGACCTGGTTACCATTCTACGTGAAATAGCCTCAAGGTGGTCTTGGGTCTCTAGCTAGCTAGCGGTAGCCACCAAAGTTTAATCCTCGATTCTGGGCAGAACCGAGTTATTCCGTTCGTTGGAAAACACCAAAGCCACGGTTGTTCGCACGTTGTGACCTTTTAGTGGGCGCTATATGAGGCCCTACTAATTCCTGAGGCACATATCCTTTTAAGCAATCAGGTCCATACATCATTTGGGTGTGTTTCTGCGTGTAGAGTAAAATAATGTGCTTTACAGGGGGTCGCGTGGGAGATACAGTTGGCCACTGCGAAGATCAGCTTATGACACAGTCAGCGTTGACCAGGCCACACAGGGTCCGCGCATCCCATAACAAATGGCACACATGGAGTGTGTTGGCACGCGTGGACGCAGGCTCGCGCCGCGCCGACCGCTTGCGTTCAATTCCAGCACCAGATGGCTGACCAGATCGGATAGCGAGCTGGTGCACGGGAGATGGAGGGGAGGGTTGGGTCGACACTGCGGAATCCGCTTCCTCGGCACCTCAGCAGATTCCTCACTATACGCAGTTCTGACGCGCGTGAAACTATCACGACGAGCCAAAAGTCATGGCTTGTAAAGCTGTCGACTGAAAAGGTAGCTCGATCATCCTTTTGGGACAGAGAGTCGGGCTGCAATGGCTCCTTACCACGGTCTCTATGGTATTTGCAGTCAGAGGGGATCCAAGCTGTCCCCTTTGCTCAGTGAAGGGCCGATCGATCGCGCGCCGAGCGCCCGTGTGTGGCACGCGTAGATGGCTTGTTTAGCTTTGTCAGCCACTGCGCTCGAGTCCGCCGCAGGTCGCCCTGACCCTGTCAATCCATCGGACCAAATAAGTCGAGGGTGGAGGAAGCTCTGGGGATACTACGCCTGTCTGCTATCACTGTAAGCTGGGACCCACATTGTGTACATTGCCACCCGCCACTGTTTTCAGAGTGACGTAAAATGGGAGGGGGGGATTGGGTTGTGCTGTCATATCGCTTATTATCGTGAACGCGCATGTGCCCGAATACGAAGAGCCCTAAAGCCAAAAATGCTGGTCGTCAGAAGTATATGTTTACAATTTTCAGGTTGAAGTCCGCACCCGGCCCTTTTTTCCGCACCTTAGGTGGCCGACGTTGGCAGCGGCAAAGGTTACCTGGGCACCTACTTGTCACTGGCGCATGGCATACGCGTTCTGGAGATCGATTCGCGAGAGGTAAATACCCGTAGCTCCAAACAACGTCGAGTGAATGTGCAAAAGTTTTGGAATCTCCAGAGTCACAAGCAGACCGCTGCATCCCCGCGAGAAAAGAGGCAGCAGCAGGAGGTGGAGGTATTCCAGTCGGACTGCGCGAGCCTCACCTGTTCGGTGACCTCGGCCTCGCAACTCGATTCGCTGCTCGCTCAGGCAGCCAGGCGGCCGGCCCCCCGATGCATGCTCACTGGTCTGCACTCCTGTGGCGGTCTGAGCGTGACTCTGCTGAGGACCTTCGTGGAGTCATCTAGGGTTGAAGCTCTGGTCAACGCTCCCTGCTGTTACCACCTCCTCCAGGAAGCCGGTGGCAGCTCTGGTGACTTCGTAGAGCGCCTGGTTCCCTCCACTGTCGATGCCCCACAAGACGGTGGTAAGTATTCCGATTCCAATGCAGCATGCAACTTTATCGTGTCTTGCGGACATTTACCTCCGCCACCCGACAGGCGACGTGTGTAAGCATCGCGATCAAACAGTCTCCCACGTTAACGTTGGTTTTTTCACCTTTTAGGCTGCCGAGGGTTGCTACCTTTTCCAAAGGTCTCCTTACGTAGACAGGACACGAGAGTTGAGTGCATGGTAATTTTGATTCGCGCAGCAAGTAAGCACAGACTGTACGGGAGTCAGGACAGTTCAGCTAATTACACAAGTATTTCAGGAGTAGACCGACAAAAGCAGAATTAGCGAGTATTTGAGACAAAATAAATATTTCCTGTTACTAGTAGACAGATCCAAAATGCTTTGAGGAATCACTCGGACCCTACAAGCACCCGGCACGCTGATGTAACTTGGATTATTTTGGTTGAGGATCAGTATGTTAGTGGCATTCGAGAGGCGGATCGCGGTCCTCCCCAGGGCTGAATCAGATTATAATGGCTCCTCCCTAATGTGGGCTGTACGGCATTCCCACCCATGTGAGGCGAGCTGCTCTCACAGTAGCCTGACAAGTCTGGAGTGGGGACCAGGTCGGGCGCCTGGCACTCGTAGAGGGGCTGCTGCACACACCCCAACCTCAGGTCGCCCTGACTGTCTGTCCTACCATCGGATCAAGACAGATGAGGGCGGAGAGAGTGCGGTAGAAGCTGTGCAAGTCTGCCTACCAACGAACCAGTTCACGCCCAGTTGCCGGTGTCGCGCCCACTCCCTGTGCTGGTCGCACCGTCAGAGACGGGAAGAAATGCCTGGTTGGCCACCACCCATTCCGGCGTCCGCTCGTCCTGGTCGAGTCTCCCTACTGGTACACACCGTGAGAGGAAAGAATAAGGCCCATTTTGTGATACCTTTCCCCACTGTAGTCAGTATTACGCACATTTGGGCTATTACGGTGCTTTAAAAGTAGTGGCATCGAGGGTTGCCAACTGACTGACAGTCTGATTGTACTGGCTGCATAAAAACCCTAATCTCTATAAAATTCACCCCAGATTGAAGTCAGTTTTGGCAATCCTACCTACGTGATACACACTATACGGGTGCGGATATCTGATCGTTTACTGCGTCCACAACATCTCCAATTGTATGGTCTTAGTCACGCTACCAGTACACGTCCCTCACTATGATCCCGGCCGAACACCCCTGAATACGTCGCACCAGGGCTAAAAAAACCACTGCCAGCATCACCGATCAATATGCGTTAGATCCGCTCTACCTGTCTACCCGGAGTCAGCGCTTTCCGACATCGTATGGGTACCTTCAGTCATATGCGCCTCCACTAAAGCAATCGCCTAAACACCACTCATTGCGCGCACATCAACCATAAGGCAAAGTTTGACAAATTCGTTGATAGCGGGTAGATGTAGTTCTGGGGTGCATTAAACGGAGGTTTCAAGCCACGTCAGTCACTGTGCCCAGTCCTATCTTGAGTCAGGCTTCTTGTTGGCAGGACTTTCTTCCAATCCACATCCAAGATTTACTCTCCCATTCGTTGACAGATAAAAACACCCGTCGAAACTCACGATGCGCTGACAGTCACATCTTGGAAGGTCGCTTACTGACGGTGTAACCCGATCATACCAAGAACCGAGTGGTAGAGGGGCGCTCACCTATCGTTTCTACGGAACTCACTCGTCCCGTTGTGCCTTAGGGCTCTCACTCGAGTCCAACCAGCAGCCGCACAGCAGCGCATGATATAGACAGAATGCTACTACCGACAAAGACAAGGGAGACTGAAATGACCATTTCTGGCTTATTAGCCGTTGTCAGCCAGTCATACCAAACCCTGAAGTGTGGAATACCTGGGGCTCGAACTCGCGACCTGTTCTGTCTAATAAGCCCGAAGTGGCCATTCCAGTCTCCCTTGTCTTGTTCGGCAGTATCATTCTGCCTATATGATGCACCGCTGTGCGACTGCTGGTTGGACCCGAGAGAGAGACCATAAGGCACAACAGCACGAATGAGTTCCGTAAGAACGGTCGGTGAGCCCCCCCTACCATTGTATATTCCCGATTGAAACTGACAGGGCAATGGGCTTGTGGCCCAGTGGTTAAAGGCGTTGGACTTCTAACTAAAAGGTCGCAAGTTCGAGCCCCAGGTGTTCCACACTTCGGGGTTGGGTATGACTGGCTGACGACGGCCAATTAGCCAGAAATGGCTTTGTCGGTAATACCATTCTGCCAAGAACCGAGTGTCAGTTTGCGGTGGCTCCTTTATGGCACCATCACTTACGTGCGACCCGAGGTTCCTAGCCGAATTCTACCTCATACAAGGTAATGGATCAGCACACATGCCGTACGCGTAGACGTGGTTTCAGTCTCTTTAGCCACCTTGCCCTTACCCCCCTCCAGTTATACTCACGTCGACCGCCCACCGGGACACACCTAGGCGAGAGAAGAGCAAGTGAGGTGAATGCTACACCACACGTCGCTACTGTGTCGTCTCGGGGCCATTAGTGGTCTTTATTGCATTTGACGGGCGAACTTATTCCATGTCGCCTCGTCAGTCACACGTTCTTCCCCATTCCCAGGCAATAGTGGTCCTTGTGGGATTCGATGGACAAACTATCAGAGACCAGTCGACGGATGCAGATGTGCAGCGCAGACCGGCCTCGTTCCCCGTTGCTTCTTAATCCCACAGCCATGCTCAGGGATTCGTACACGCAATTTTCATTTGAGTTCTTAATACTGAGGAGAAACTAGGTGGTCGAGCCGTTTGTTTGGATCCGACCACTTAACGCACAATAGGACCGATGATCCACCAAGTCAGACGGTCAGTTTAGCGGCAGCGAACAGTCACTACGGCCAGCCTACGAAAACTAGACGCGCGCAGCCAAGTAAAATCTGCGAAACATCTGTCTGCACTTTTAACTGGCACATGTTGTGGAAAGTAGAGTGAAACCATTTAAAGGTCTTTTTTATTCAATGTTCAGCAAACTTGGCTGTTCAGCAATTAGCAGAGCTTTCTCATTCCTTGCCAATCCTGGGCTTGGTTAGCGATGACAGGGCTGTCTGTTGACGTACCAACTCTGCATGTTCCCCAATTTCGCCCTTAACGATGTCCCTGTAGTTTGCTTGCATTTGCGACTCAATGGGGGGACCGTCAGCCCCAAGTATCTTAACAGACACACACCTTGGTTTCCAGGCTGATGGCGATGATGGTCGTCCCTCTTCAATCTAGCTTTCGACTTTCCCATGAGTCAGTGGCTGCGTTCGGAGTATCCCTGGCTACGACTGGGTCGCAACGCTCGCACTGTCGCCAGTCAGCCCCTGGAACGGCTGGCTAGTCTCAGCAATCTGCTGCGGACCGGCAAGGATCCCGCCTCCATCAGCGATCTTCAGTCTGCCCTGAACGAGTGCTTCCCCCGCACCACCTACTATCGGGTGATCCTTCAACAGCTGCTGCTGGACCACCTGCCCCCTGAGCAGCATCGGCCCACCGAGTGGATTGTCGGTCGGCGGAATCATCAGCGGCGAAAGCTCGTGTCGGTTCCTCCCGTTGTGGGCAGCGGCGATGGTGGTGGTACTGATCCTCCGCCCTCCTCCGCCGCCCTGCTCGTCAACGTGGGTCGCGGCCCTCAAACTGGGGCGCACGTGGATGAACTTCGAGGCAGCGGAGAGTCCTTTGTGTCATATACACGTTGGTGCCTTCAGAGACTCGGCCTTGAGGAGCTCTCCGACTCAGTGAGTGGAGGGTGGAAATTTTTTTCATCGACAGTTTTTCTGTTTGCGCGCGCGTGTGGTTATAAAACTGGCCACGCTGAGCCAAAACAGAGGCTAGTTCGGAGTTCGACAGGTGGTATTTAGGATGCACACCCGCAACAAATGCCAACACTGGGGCGCGGTGGCAGATCCGGTTGCAGGCGCACATCACGCCAATTGGGATCCCTGCCGCGCCCTCATTTTTATTGGTGTATAAAATCTAGGTCAACAAATATTGTTGATTGGGCATGTGGTGGTGGGCCTAGGTGCGGGTTCTCGCCGTGCCAGCCACCTGTGCCCTCTCCCGCCTCTGGTCTTCTCGACTCCGTTTTCAAATCGGGTTAGTTTGGGGGAGAAGAAAGTACGGTAGATGCTGCACAAGTGCACTATCATTATTAACTACCTTACGCGCATGTCGCCGTCCTTGCTCACGCCCTGCTGTGCAGCATGCGGTGGACATCATCGGTCACGACGATCGGACCGTCGTGTGTCTGGTTTAGTCCCCAAAAGTGAGTGACGGTGTTTTACCAAGCCCAAGATAGGGCAAAAATTTTGGTGCTAGACAAGTGTCTGAGTAAACTCTTTTTGTGTAGATTGAGGAACCAGCACATGACTGCCATTCAAGTGACGAGACTGGTAGGCCTGATCGACTAGTGCTTCGAATCCCGTCTTGGAATGAGCCCGTTACTGTACACTACCTGCCCACCGACACAAACTATCACAACATTTAAACTAACTTAAGAACAGTCTGGATTTTCTGCCAATTTTGGCCTCTGGAACTCTTTATCAATCGTAGGGTGTATCCAACTTTTGCCGGTATCGTCAATATTGGCGTCGAACGATTTTACACGACTACTGACAATATTTAAGTAGCCTCTTTTGAGCACTGTCTCGGCTCAATGGTAGGGCGGTCTCTACGTGCTTAGGTCAACCACCCGTCTATTACCTAAAAGGGGAATAAGACAACTACTCGGTCTTCTTCGGGCATTTCCTTCTGGAGACTAGCATTTTCATGACCACTTTGTCACAGACTATTGCTTGGGCCAGCTGCCACCGTTAGGTTTGACTGTCGTTCTGCAAAACCTTACCCCAAGTTCCCTTTTTTTCACAGCTGACAGACGACTTTATTGCCGCCTACCCCTCTCGTTTTCCGGGATTGGAGTCCAAGGTACACTGCCACTACATGATGCGTTGCTGTTTTGGGCCAGTTGTTGAGGCCTGCATCCTTCTGGATCGCGTACTCTTCCTCCTCGAGGCTGGTCGAGAACACTCCCTGCCAGTCACCGCCAGGCTGGTTCGCGTTTTCGATCCGCTAATTTCACCACGCTGTCATGCCATTGTGGCCACAAGATAGGAAACAGATCTTGTACAGGACAACCCTAATTTGCCCCAGCGCCATCCCCTAACGCAGTTCGTTTGTACATGTATTACATGATTTGTCACGTGTGAATAAAAATGTACTTCCCCCTCCCCTGCTTTTCGGACTTGCCTCTGCTAACTACTGATCCTAGAGACTTCTTACAGCGCAAATGTGAAGTAAGGCACTCTTTCTCCCTCTCCTCAGAGGCCAGCCGTAGCGTCGCAAAAACATCCTCCCTGTAGGGTTGTATTTGTGCATCTTGCAACACTTCATTGATTAGTAATCCCAATAGCCTCACCGGTAGCTGCTGGAAGGTATGAACTTGCGGCGACAATTGTCTGACTTTCAACCTTTTGACCCTAAAGCGTTACCGGCATAATTTAGCCTTACTCTTTGTTTATGGAACCGATAATCGACCAGTTATAATTCATGTTATCGCATCGGCGCACTCACCGGACACATGCTGCGGACGTTTGGGGGTTAAATTGCGTTCAGAATCGAGACAAACGACCTGGCGAACTCTGTATTCAGTCAAGAGCTGTCTAGTAATCGTATCGAGCCGCTTACTGCTCACACGAGGAGTTGATATTGATGGGTTGGTGCATCTGTGATCGTACCTGATCTTGCGGCCTCGATGGTGTGGGGGGTTGCGCATTCCCACTCGTGACTGTCCGCGGTAGCAGATCGTCAGGGCCCGACTTACGTCGCCGGCGACGGAGAACAAATACCGAAGATCCAAGAAGCACTTTAAAGTGTTGACGAACCGTATTGACTATTCACCTGTGACACAAGACTGTAGACCACTAATGGCTGAGGCTGACGAGGCGACACCGTCAGCTGATCAAGATCAGTCAGCCGGCGTCCGTATGCAAACTCAAGACCGTCAACTTCGTTTAGGGCCCCTCCGATAATCAAGTCAGTGACATAGTTGAGTAGAAAGGGCGATAAGATACAACCGTACCGAACGTCAGATCGGATATCGAACGGTCGGGGAAAATTTTATGGACCAGATTCCGGAAAATCATGGAGCGATAGTAGTTCTTGATCACGACGAGGATTTTTGCCGGCATACCATCTAGTTCCGTCATCCGTCACAGGCACTCGCTATGGACGGAATCGATGGCTGCGGCGAAGTCAACAATACAGACAGCTGGTAGTCATGGCGGAATTCCGGAATGCGCCCCGGTGTGAATGTCTGGCCGGCACATCCACGCCCAGCGCTGAGCCTGGCTTAGTTGGGTCTCGTTTTAGAGTCACGAACACGCTGAAATCGCCTGAGGATGGCAAAAGTCAAAGCCTTTGCGACAACATTGAGGGAGCTTATACCGCAGCAGCTCTCGCACCTTGTCATATCGCCCTTCCGGGAGGCGGGCACAAGGATGCCTGTGCTCCCGTCATTAAGAACGGCCTCATCTCTCCACGCTTGTTCAATCCTTTTATGGAGTTACGACATTGGTGTGTCTACACGGGAATTTTGGCTCCCAAAAGCGATGTCATCTTCTCCGGGCGCCGTGTTTTTGTGCAGCCTCCGTATTAGTTCAGTGATTTCTCCCTGAGAGGGGGGGGGGTACCGAGATGCTATGGTCGCCAAGACAAAGATTCCCAAATCAGAAGTCAGGAAATACGGGTAGGATTGGACAACTTTTACTCCTGATGAAGTGCGTACACAAAGGCTCTGCAAACAGTCACCGCGAGCGGTCTCTCCAGGCAAGTTGTGTTTTCTGTGTCCGCCGTTGAGGTGCTTAGACCCCAGTGCGTATGAACACCTTTCGCTCTGCCTCAGTGTCGCCAGCCAATCAGAGAAGGGGCAGCGTTGATTGGCCTCGAGCGCTCGCGAGGCTAGTGACAAGCCTCGCGCGTCCCAGCAGAGACTTGACAGGGAGTGTGAGGCAGACAGGGGGCAGCGTGAAAAAAACGATGGAGAGCTAGGAGACGCGGACTGCCACAGGATCACACGACGTTACGCAGCCTGGAGAGGGAAAAAACTCCGTTGCAGGAGAGAGCGAGGGTCTGATGGGTTGGTCATCGAAGTGCTCATGCCAGCGCTCCACCTTGGCCGACTTGTCAGCAATAAGGCCGTCATTCTCATCGTTACTCAGTGCAGACGGCATACCACCAACTTTGCGGATAATTTGGTAGAGTTGTCGAGTGTCACCAACGCTTGAGACCTGCTCAATGGACGTCGCCATTTCAGGTCAAAGTTGACTGTGGTCATCCTTAGTTGACTTTGTCGTCACTTTCCAGAGTTGGCGAGAAGAAGCATCGTTGAAAGACAGGGCTCGAGCAGTCTGGGTCGACAACTGTTGAGCTGATCCAATCACTGCAGTGCCGCTAGGTGAATTCAAGAATTTTCCCAACTGCCACATGAACTGGTGATGGCACTCGCCACTGCCTTCCCTGTCGGCTCGAGTCATAAAACAGGACAGGGCTTCTCTGGTCAGGGTCGCCGTGGTGCTTGGCTTTCGAAGTTTGGTGGTATCAAGGCGTCTTGCACGTGGCGTTTTGGATGCAAATGAGGGGTGAACTTTTAGGCGTGTGCGACTGAGAACTCGGACCGACCCATGGGTGTCACCAGTTTCGACACCACACATCGGTCTGCTTTCGTGAACACGCCTGCGGACCCTTGAATCCACTAGAATGTATTCCGGTCTGACTAGCTGTGGGGCGGTTGTTTGGACGACAGGCCAGCTGATGTTTGTGACGATACTGGGAGCACATTTTGGTGACAAATATTCGGTTCTGTTAAGCAGATCTCATCACTCTCTCGCCAGCGTCTATTTCGGCCATTCCAGTCTCTGGCAACAATCGTCAGGTCGCGGCGAGGAAGTCTTTCAACCACTTTCTGCCCTGGTTGGCAGCTGGTATTGGCGCGTACGCGGAGATGACAGAAAAGCTCGTAAAGGAACCTCTCAATCACACAGAAGCCATCCGGCTATTGGCTGGTTACCATACAAGTAGTGTACAGCTCTGTTGTTGCTAGAGGGCGACGGCCACACCCTGTCAACCAGAGGAGTCGGGTGGACCTCTGTGGTACAGGGTGGAGTAA